AGGGAGTTCCACAGCTGAGGGGCCATCACAGAGAAGGCCCTGTCTCTCGTCCCCGCTAGACATGCTTGTGAGGCCGGCAGGACTGAGCGCAGGGCCTCCCAGATGATCTTAGTTTCCATGCCGGTTCACAGGGGGCGATACGTTCGGACAGGGAGCCTGGGCCAGAACCATTTAGGGCTTTATAGGTTAAAGTGTGTAATGCACAGATATCTATGGCAACAACCAACAAAACAACAATGTATGCGCATGACTCGCAAAATTCTGCCTCAGAGTAGGTTACTTCATGCTGTATTACTATGTTGAAAAGACCTCAAAATTCACAGTAGTAAATATACAATTCTCATATTCTAATTCAACTCAGGATATACTATTGACGAAACAACCAGTCCTAATAAGTCCGGGAGCTGTGAAAGGTCTTGAGTCCAATACCATGGTCGTCAAAGAAATCCAGCTTCCAAACTAACGACTACTATATTAAATTTGATTCTTCATTGACTCGTAACGCCAGGAACAGCAACACAACAATGTCTCCCGGGTTGTTCCCCTTGTTTCGTTTTTCCTTCTTCGGGTGTTATGCCAGTCTTATCTATAATGCCTGAGCACACTAAATAAGAAATGAAGCAACAGACAGACAATAGATATGCTCAAATCCCCAAATTAACATTGTTTTGAAAAAGGTTTTTGATACACAACGCTTGTCTACTCCCATTCCTGATCGTAGCTTTGGCTCTGTTGTGAATGCCTGTCTGTATCTATAATGGCCGGGTATACTAGATAAGAAATAAAGCAACACACAGGCAGGAGATATATTAAAATCTCCAAATTAACAACGTTTAAAAGAAGTGTTGATACCCACGCTTGCCTCCTTACACACCTGTGAATAGCTTTGGCTCTGTTGTGAATGGAGTTCTGCAACGAGACAATGTGATGGGACCAGAATGGCTCTTAAGGAAGGCTGCGTCTTACAGAAAACATATGTAATCAATTCTATCATTAAGCCCTTGAGGGAAAAGTGTTTGTAGTTTGAAAATCCAAAATGACTCTCTGCGACAGGCAACCTTTGACATCTGCATTAGGTTTAGGTGATACTTTCTCCAAAGCACAAAATGTAAAGCTATGGTATGTGTGTGCCTTTTCTTGAAAATGTACATATAACAAAGAGTCAGTGGACCCATTCCTTATTCGAGAGCGATGTTCACTTATTCTGATTTTCAGGGGTCTACTGGTCTTGCCAATATATTGTAATTCAATCCTTCATTTTTTTAGTTTTCACCACCATTCACTGAAATCCAATTTACCATACTCACAGCTTTTAAGACTGACACGTAATTCTAGCACTCAAAAGGATTTTGACCCTTCAACAGGCATCCCAAAAAAACAATTCAGAGAGCGAGGATACCCCAATAGGATACTTAACACAGCCATCAGCAAGGCTAACTCCATTAACAGGAATGAGCTACTGCAGGAACGCCTTAGGAAGCAAAACAATTGCATGATCTGGCCTAACAAAATACTCATCTGAAATGAAAAAGATCATCTTTAAACACTGGCATCTAGTACAAGACATCTCGGGATGCCAAAGCACACCTATAATTGCCCACAAAAGATCCAAAAACTTAAACTTTATGATCCATTCAGAGTACCACTCTCCAACCACGTTCCAAAAACAAACTGTTAGGGGTCACACTAGTTGTGCCCATTGTGACTGCTATTCTCAATCTTTCAAGGGCAAAACATTTTCACGTCCTACATTAAATATGAACATTACCTTACAGCATTTCACCCCATGTTCTACCGATAATGTTGTTTACATAATTCAATGTCCTTGCAAATTACTATATGTTGGAATGACCACTAGACCCCTGAAAATCGGAATAAGTGAACATCGCTCTCGAATAAGGAATGGGTCCACTTTGAATTGGTAGGAAACTGGCAGCCAGTGGAACTGACACAACAAGGGGTTAAGTGCTCCCTGAGCACTGTTCCAATGAGCAACCTGGCTGCTGCTCAGTTGGAGCTTCCAGTCTTCAAAGGCAACACAACACAGAGCGTGTTGCAGTAATCTATACGGCATGTAATCTATACGGGATGTAACCAGAGCATGGACCACTGTGGCCAAGTCAGACTTCCCAAGGTACAGGCACAGCTAGTGTCCATGTGAGTCCTATAATGTGAATGTAGACCTCCACTCTGAGTGAAGCACTGAGCACATGTAGATTTTCCTTCTCAGTGAATCTCTGCCCACACTCAAGGCATGTATAGGGTTTCTCCCCAATGTGAGTCCTCTGATGTGAACATAGAACTGAAATCTGAGTGAATCCTTTGATGCGAATGTAGATTTCCCCTCTCAGTGAAGCTCTTTCCACATTCCAGGCATGTATAGGGTTTCTCCCCAGTGTGAGTCTTTTGATATAAACGTAGACCTGAACTATGAGTGAAGCTGTTCCCACACTCCCAAATATTCATAGGGTTTCTCCCCAGTTGTGTCCTATATTTATGTAGATGAGAAGTGAAGTACTTTCCACCCTCCAGGAATGTATAGGGTTCTCCTTAATGTAAGTCCTTTGATGTGAATGTAAATTCCCAGTCTGAGTGAAGCTCTGCCTCTTTCCACATTCCAGGCATTTATAGGGTTTCTCCCTTGTGTATGTCCTTTCATGTGAATGTAGACCTGAACTATGAGCGAAGCTCTGTCCACATCCCTGGCATTTATAAAGTTCTCCCCCAGTGTGAATCCTTTGATGTGAATGTAGACCTGAATTATGAGTGAAGGTCTATCCACATTCCAAACATTTATAGAGTTGCTCCCAAGTGTGAGTCCCTTTGATGGGAACGTAGACCTGAATGAACTATGAGTGAAGCTCTGTCCACATTCCAGGCATGGAAAGGGTTTCTCCCCAGTGTGAGTCCTTTTTTTCCTTTATTTTTTATTAATTATTTGACACAAACAACCTCATATATAATCAGAAAATATGCATTCAAAAATAATGAAACTTCTCTAGATCTGTATGAAGATGGCAACTTGTACAAAATAAGTATAACATACTTTACCATTCACTCGAGTTTAAGACATTTTCAAAGGAAAATCCATGCAAACTATTCCTAACCAGAACTGTTAAATCCTAATGTATCTTTTTTTAGGAAATTCCTTACAAGGCAAGAAATATACAGGGTGCAGCAGCATAACTTCCTTTTTTTAAATGCGCGCCATTCAGTCGGTTGAAGACGTAGCGGAGCGCTCGTGGTCTCGTTCGAGAGGCGGGAGTATCAAGTTTTGTCCTGACACCGTTCAGTCGCCATCCTGCGTTGGAACAGTGAGGAGCGGGCTTTTGCCGTTGAGGCCTACTTTTCGAGCAGATTTGGAGTGGCCGACCCGCTCTCCAGATTTGGCCCCTTGTGATTTTTTTCTATGGGGTTTCTTGAAATCTCATGTTTATGTGAACCGTCCAGGGACCCTACAAGATGTGAAGGCCAACATCCAGGAAGAAATTGCCAACATAACGCCTGCTATGCTGGCAAAAGTCACGACAAACGACAGAAATCGGTTTACTCAGCGTATGGAGAATGGGGGACGTCACCTACCTAATTTGATCTTCAAAACTACGTAAAACAAAACTTTAGGTATGCGCCTACATTACAAAAAATGATTCTGATTCATACAATGGGTTTTATTAAGTTTTGAAAAAAGGAAGTTATGCTGCTGCACCCTGTATCTTCATAATCAAGAGAGTTATGTCCAAATACATCCTGATATCACATCAATAAAAAACAGAACATAAGAAGTGAGCAGGCAACAAAGTACTCTCTTATGACTAGCGCTTTCTGACTATTTTACACACACAGGCATGGACAACTGCAAAAAACCCAATTTGCATACATTGAAAGATGTCCAAAATCATAATCAAATGTTTCATTAACATTATGTCAACATATTTAACTTTGCCAGGAATCACCTTTTCTATATTGTAGCATTCCAGCTTCTCCACATAGTATTACATATTTCTTTTTAAAAAATCCTTTCCCTCTTCTTCTTTCTTCCCCCTTTTCTCCCTTCCCGTTCTTTTCTTGACAACCATACATAATCCCTTTTCTAAACATCAACATAGTGTTCACACCTCAAGAGTTCCACCATAACACATATACCATGGAAAAGAAAGTCACACCAAAAGAGCGTCAAAGGATTCTTCATCACGTCTTTCTTCAGAAGGAATTAAAACTATTTGAAATTAAACTATTTGAAAATTAGGATTTTGTATTAGTCAGACTTGAAATCCCCATGTTGAAGTGGCCTTTCCTTCTAAAAACCTTTTGAAGGTTTCCCAGTCTTTCCTTAATTCTGAAGGGTCTTTTGACTGGAGATCTCCCGTCAGAATGTCCATCTCTGCCACTTCCGCCACTTTCACGATCCATTCCTCCAGTTCCGGTGTTTCCTCCAATTTCCAGGCTCGTGCGTAAAAGATTCTTGCAGCAGTTACCACCAAGGTGAAGAGTTTGTGTGACTTCCTTGAATCTTTTGGTTGGTGGCTTTCTGTGGTTTTCCTTTTGATGAACTACACTGATCTTTATCCAGATCCAGTTCTAGATCATGAATATTGTCTTCATAAAGTCCTAGGCTTTCGTTTCTGATGTAATCCAATGTTTCCGTTCTTTATAAGTAATCATAACTCCTTCAGACGGCAGCCATTTAAATCTTATATGGTATTGTTTAAGCTTCTCAGTCAGAATATAATATAGTTTTCTTTTCTGTATAACTGATGGCGGGAGGTCTTTAATTAATGTTACTTTGTGGTCTTCCAATTGTACAGGTGTATTTAGATGATTCTGATCTTTTTTCTTGTAAATGTAACTATAATGTCCCTAGGCAATTTATATTTTGATGCATAGGCTGATCTTACCCTAAACATCTGGTCAATTTCCTTTTCTGCTTCTTCCTCAGTTTTCCCTAATGTCTTTGCTGTTAATTCCAATATTAGTTGCTCAATCTCTGTCGTCTCCTCCAGTGTGAGTCCTTTGATGTTTATGTAGACCTGAACTCTGAGTGAAGCTCTGTCCACATTCTAGGCATTTATAAGGTTTCTCCCCAGTGTGAATCCTTTGATGTGTACGTAGATGAGAACTCTGAGTGAAGCTCTGACCACATTCCAGGCATTTATGGGGTTTCTCACCAGTATGAATTCTTTGATGTGAACGTAGAGCTGAACTTTGAGCGAAGCTCTGTCCACACTGCAGGCATGTATAGGGTTTCTCCCCAGTGTGAGTCCTTTTATGTGAATGCAGAGCTGAAATCTGAGCAAATCTCTGTCCACATTCCTGGCATTTATAGGGTTTCTCCCCAGTGTGAATCCTTAGATGTGTACGTAGAGTTTCACTACAAGCGAAGCTCTTTCCACATTCCAGGCATCTGTAGGTTTTCTCCCCTGTGTGTGTCTTTTCATGGGAACGTAGACCTGAAATCTGAGGAAAGCTTTCTCCACATTCCTGGCATTTATAGGGTTTCTCCCCAGTGTGAGTCCTTTGATGTGCATGTAGACCTCCACTCTGAGTGAAGCTCTGTCCACACTCTAGGCATGTATAGGGTTTATCCCCAGTGTGAATCCTTTGATGTGTACGTAGAGTTGAACTCCGAGTGAAGCTATGTCCACATTCCAGACATTTATAGGGTTTCTGCCCAGTGTGAATCCTTTGATGTGAACGTAGTGCTGAACTATGAGTGCAGCTCTGTCCACATTCCAGACATTTATAAGGTTTCTCCCCAGTGTGAGTCCTTTTATGTGAATGCAGACCTGAATTATGAGCAAAGCTCTGTCCACATTCTTGGCATTTATAGGGTTTCTCCCCAGTGTGAATCCTTTGATGTGAATATAGAGTTTCACTACGAGCGAAGCTCTTTCCACATTCCAGGCATGTATAGGGTTTCTCCCCAGTGTGAGTCCTTTGATGTTTACGTAGATTTGAACTGTGAATGAAACTCTTTCCACACTCCAGGCATGTATAAGATTTCTCCCCAGTGTGAGTCTTTTGATGCGAAAGTAGACCTGAAAGCTGAGTAAAGCTCTGTCCACATTCTAGGCATGTATAGGGTTTCTCCCCAGTGTGTGTTCTTTGATGTCGACATAAACCTGCATTATGAGTGAACCTCTTCCCACACTCCAGGCATTCATAAGATTTCTTCCCAGTGTGAATCCTTTGATGTGAATGTAGATTTGTACTATAACCGAAGCTCTGTCCACACTCTTGGCATTTATAGGGTTTCTCCCCAGTGTGAATCCTTTGATGCGAATGTAGATTTGTACTACGAGTGAAGCTCTGTCCACATTGCAGGCATGTATAGGGTTTCTCCCCAGAGTGAGACCTTCTATGCGATTGTAGACTTGAATTCAGAGTGAAGCTCTGTCCACACTCCATGCATTTATAGGGTTTCTCCCCAGTGTGAGTCCTTTGGTGTGTATGTAGACTTGAACTACGAGCAAAGGTCTTTCCACACTCCACACATGTATAGGGTTTTTCTCCAGTGTGAGTCTTTTGATGTGAACATAGACCTGAACTCTGAGTAAAGCAACGTCCACATTCTAAGCATTTATAGGGTTTCTCCCCAGTGTGAGTTCTTTGATGTTTATATAGACTTGAACTATTAGTGTAGCTCTGTCCACACTCCAGGCATGTAAAGGGTTTCTCCCCAGTGTGTGACCTTTGATGAGAACATAGTCCTGAAATATGAGTGAAACTCTGTCCACATTCCTTGCATTTATAGGGTTTTCCCCTGGTGTGAGTCTCTTGATGTCTACGTAGATTTGAACTATTGGTGAAGCTGTTCCCACACTTCAAGCATTCATAGGGTTTCTTCTCAG